CCTCCTATCGCCATCAAAGATGTGCACAGAGGAATTCTCATGTTCAAACCTTTGCCTTAAGGACCACGTCCATGATCAAATATGTATACTGTTAGCCAACTAGTTGTGGCCTCTGCCAAACCTAACGTGTCTTTATCCATAATGCTAAGTATATGACTTCTTTGCCTAGGAAGTCAGAGCATTGACTTCTCTTCTCTCTTTTGACAAGTTGTAGCGTTGTGCTAAGATTGACAGGGCCCACTAACGATGCCGATGACACGTCTGATAATGCACCACATGCACGGTCCAACTTTGGAAAATATCATGCATATTATGGACTCCAGACAAGGAGTGTTCTTCTAGGTTTTCCTGCCAATATGACAAAGCTGCAAAAACAAGATTAGGCAACTAATATACAACAAAAAGTAATAGGTACCATAAAAAAGGCCACCCTATGGTGGTCTTCATACTTTCGATTATAATTTATTTTACAAAAGCTTATAGATAACATACTTTTTAAGTGATTAGTTTTACATTTTTACTCAACTTTAAATGCTCAAATTTCTTCAAAATATTATAAATAGTAATTAGTAAATACATAGAATTTATATCATATCATTTTTGATGCCAGAATTGCTAATAATAATATCTTTACCCTGTCTAAGGCAGTCAAAAGGGATCGTATTTTGTCCGATAAAATCATCGCCAATCGAGTTATCGTCAAGTGCTACGAACCGAACTAAAGCAATGCTGCCAAGTCGGACGGTGAATTCAAATGTGTCATCAAAAGCTGGACTGTAGCCCGTTGCACAACCCGCTTTTGCTGTGCGTGTTCTCTCCTCCCTACAATCAGTTAATATTCCAAATATTTGTACAACAATGTAGGGCTCTATTGTATCTCCCTTGGCTACTGAGCCTCGAGGCTTCGGAAGTTGTTGCGCAGATATCACGCGAATACGAAGCACCTGACATAAAAATAACATGAGTACAAATATAAAAACACAAGTTATATAAGTATTTAGTTAATGAATAAAAAAGATATCTAGACTTTAAAAACAGATATTTTTCCGCTTAACCTATGTTCGC